AATCTGTGGTCATCCAATTGCTCATACTCATAACTCCTTTCTGTTTCTGTAAAACCGGTAGTCTTTCCTTTTTTTTTCTTTTTGAGATAGAGTCATCTCGCTCTGTTGCCCAGGCTGCCATGCAGTGGCGTGATCTCAGCTCACTGCAGCTCCCGACTCAGCCTCTCAAAGTGCTGGGATTATAAGTGTGGGCCACTGTGCCCAGCCGAGAGCCTCTGTTCTGATATAACTTATAGCTATGAATTTCCCTCTGAGCACTGCTTTTGATCCATTCCATAGATTTGGTACTTTGTATTTGAATTTTTATTCATTTTAAAGTACTTTCTAATTTCCCTTTTAATTTTTTTCTTTAACTCCATAATTTAGAAACTTTTTTTTTTTTTTTTTTTTTGAGACGGAGTTTCGCTCTTGTTACCCAGGCTGGAGTGCAATGGCGCGATTTCGGCTCACCGCAACCTCCGCCTCCTGGGTTCAGGCAATTCTCCTGCCTCAGCCTCCTGAGTAGCTGGGATTACAGGCAGTGCGCCACCATGCCCAGCTAATTTTTTGTATTTTTAGTAGAGACGGGGTTTCACCATGTTGACCAGGATGGTCTTGATCTCTTGACCTCGTGATCCACCCGCCTCGGCCTCCCAAAGTGCTGGGATTACAGGCTTGAGCCACCGCGCCCGGCTAGAAACATATTTTTAATCAATATAAATCACAAATTCATATTTGCTAATTTTCTCAATCTCCTTCTGTTATTAAATCCTATTTCCATGCCAAAGTGGTCAGATGTTCTGTATGATTTCGATCTTCTTAAATTTATTGATACTTGTGAGCTGATATTTGCTGTATTCAAGAAAATGTTCCATGTGCATTTGGAAGAAACATGTGTTCTGCCATTGCTGGGTGGAGAATTCCATAAATGTCTGTTAGGTCTAGTTGGATGATTTTTTTTTTTTTTTTTTTTAATTGAGACGGAGTTTCGCTCTTGTTCCCCAGGCTGGAGTGCAATGGCGCGATCTCGGCTCACCACAACCTCCGCCTCCTGGGTTCAGGCAATTCTCCTGCCTCAGCCTCCTGAGTAGCTGGGATTACAGGCACGCGCCACCATGCCCAGCTAATTTTTTGTATTTTTAGTAGAGACGGGGTTTCACCATGTTGACCAGGCTGGTCTCGATCTCTCGACCTCGTGATCCACCCGCCTCGGCCTCCCAAAGTGCTGGGATTACAGGCTTGAGCCACCGCGCCCGGCCCTGGATGATGGTTTTGATGAAACTTTCTCTTTCCTTGATGATCTTCTATCTAGTTGTTCTATCCATTTTTCTTTTTCTTTCTTTTCTTTTCTTCTTTTTTTTTTTTTTTTTTTGAGATGGAGTTTCACTCATTACCCAGCCTAGAGTGCAATGGTGCGATCTCAGCTCACCGCAACCTCCGCCTCCTGGGTTCAGGCAATTCTCCTGCCTCAGCCTCCTGAGTAGCTGGGATTACAGGCACTCACCACCATGCCCAGCTAATTTTTTGTATTTTTAGTAGAGATGGGGTTTCACCATGTTGACCAGGATGGTCTTGATCTCTTGACCTTGTGATCCACCCGCCTCAGCCTCCCAAAGTGCTGGGATGACAGGCTTGAGCCACCGTGCCCGGCCTGTACTATCCATTTTTAAAAGTGAAGTGGCTGGGTGCGGTGGCTCATGCCTGTAATCCTAGCACTTTGGGGAGCTGAGGCAGGCAGATGGTTTGAGGTTAGGAGTTCGAGACCAGCCTGGCCAACACGGTGAAATCTACTAAACATACAAAAAAATTAGCTGGGCATGGTGGTATGTGCCTGTAATCCCAGCTATTCTGGAGGCTGAGGTAGAAAAAGTGCTTGAACCCAGGAGTTGGAGGTCGCAGTGGGCTGAAATGGCGCCACTGCACTCCAACCTGGGCACCAGAGTGAGACTCTGTCTCAAAAAAAAAAAAAAAAAAATATCTGTTGGGTCTGTCAGTATTCCCCCTTAACCTGTGCCTTCGTGGAGACGGAGACCTAATTGTATTCATGGTCTATATTCCTACAGTTTAGTGCATGCTAGGAGTCCCCTCCAAAATGTTATTTTTATTTTTTGTAGACATGGGGGTTTTGCTATTTCCCAGGCAGGTATTTCCCACTCCTGACCTCGAGTAATCGTCCTACCTCAATATTCCAAAGTGCTTTGATTACAGGTATGAGCCACTATGCCTTGCCCCTGAAAAAATGTGAAGAAGGAAAACTGAACCTTTGTGCCTGTTGTGATAAACAGGCAAATTGGAAAATAAGGAGCCATGACAAGACTGGGGACTTTGAGATCGGCTGTGCAAGCTAGGAGCTCTTTCGGCTGACTTATTTAAAGAGCGGCAGAATCTTGGGACAGAAAGGGAAATGGGGGGATGTTTTCCAAGATAACTTTACAAGACAGAAAGCGAATGCCTAGGGATAGGAAATTAACACCCATAAACCAGTAGCTTACCTTGGATTTATGGTGGCAGAAAACTTTTTCTTGAGTACGTACTGTATGAGGCATCATTCTCTCTGTGGAAAAGATCATAATGAACAAGGCCAACCCCCTGTCCTTATGGAACTCCTTATTAAGAGAACAACTAGTAACTCATTTATTCCTTTCATATATATATACATATATATATATATAGAGAGAGAGAGAGAGAGTGCATATATAAAAATATATATATACACACACCCTCCCTATCTATATATAATACAGTGACTAGTAGCTCATTCTCTCATATATATAGCATGTATATACATATGTATATACACACACAGTCTATCTCTATATATAAACTAAAGTGACTAGTAGCTCAGTTATTCCTGTCATATATATAGTGATATAGATCATATACATCATATATATATATAAACTTTTTTTTTTTTTTGAGATGGAGTTTTCCCTCTGTCATCAGGCTAGAGTGCAGTGGCGTGAATCTCAGCTCACTGCATTCTCCGCCTCCTGAGTTCAAGACATTCTCCTGCCCAAGTAGCTGGGATTACAGGCATGCACTGCCATGCCTGGCTAATTTTTGTATTTTTTTTTTTTTTTTTTTGAGACGGAGTTTCTCTCTTGTTACCCAGGCTGGAGTGCAATGGCACGATCTCGGCTCACTGCAACCTCCGCCTCCTGGGTTCAGGCAATTCTCCTGCCTCAGCCTCCTGAGTAGCTGGGATTACAGGCACACGCCACCATGCCCAGCTAATTTTTTGTATTTTTAGTAGAGACGGGGTTTCACCATGTTGACCAGGATGGTCTCGATCTCTCGACCTCGTGATCCACCCGCCTCGGCCTCCCAAAGTGCTGGGATTACAGGCTTGAGCCACCGCGCCCGGCCTAATTTTTGTATTTTTAGTAGAGATGGAGTTCCACCATGTTGGCCAGGTTGGTCTCGAACTCCCGACTTCAAGTGATCTGCCCACTTCGGCCTCCCAAAGTGCTGGGATTACAAGCAGGAGCCACTGCGCCTCGCTCCATCATATATATATACATATACACACACATACATGCATATCAGCAGCAACCATATATAATGACAGGAATAAATGAGCTACTAGTCACTCTACTAACATGCATTAACATATATTGGCCAGGCACCGTGGCTCACGCCCATAATCCCAGCACTTTGGGAGGCTGAGGCGGGTGGATCCCAAGGTCAAGAGATCGAGACCATCCTGGTCAACATGGTGAAACCCCGTTTCTACTAAAAATACAAAAATTAGCTGGCCATGGTGGTGCACGCCTGTAGTCCCAGCTACTCGGGAGTCTGAGGCAGGAGGTGGAGGTTTCAGTGAGCCGAGATCGCACCATTGCACTCCATCCTGGGTAACAAGAGTGAAACTCCGTCTCAAAAAAAAAAAAAAAAAAAAAAAAAAAAAATATATATATATATATATATATATATATATTCTCACACACACACACACACACACACACACACGATCTCTGTCACCCAGGCTGGAGTGCAGTGGCACAATCATAACTCACCTCAAACTCCTGGGCTCAAGTGATCCTCTTGCCTCTACCTTCTAAAGTGCTGGGATTTCGGGAAATAGCCATCTTGTCCAGCCTTACTAGCACATCTTACTGGCAGCAGAAACTCTAGGCTCAGAGAGGTTAAGTCACTTGTATAATTTCATACAGCTAATAAGTGGTCAGGTCTACATTCCACCACAGACCGTGTGCTTCCAATTGTTCTGCTGTATACGTCCGCTAAATAATCCCAGCAAAAATTGTAATGGGTTAGTAACAGCGGCAGAGGAATCAGGAACAGCAGCAACCATCATTTCCACGTGCCAGGCCCAGTACGTAAGACTATCCCCATTCATTTATTTTTATTTATTTTTGAGACAGGGTCTCGCTCTGTCACCCAGGCTGGAGTGCAGTGGTGCGATCTCGGCTCACTGCAGGCTCAAGCGATTCTCCTACCTCAGCCTCCCTAGCAGCCGGGACCACAGGCGAGAACCACCAGGCTTAGCTAATTTTTGTATTTTTTGCAGAGATGGAGTCTCACTCTGTCAACCAGGCTGGTCTCGAACTCCTGGGCTCAAGCAGTTCTCCCGCCTTAGCCTCCTAGTGTTGGGATTACAGGTGTGACCACCGCGCCGAGGCCCACTCCCTTATTAAACCATTGCACAGGGAGCATCTACTATGTGCGAGATATTCCCCCATTTTACAGATGGGGAAACTGCGTTCTAAGCAGCTTTTGCCACGGGTGGGAGCGCACTGTCCTTGCCCAGCCTCTCCAGTTGGGCGTTCCAAGACCACCTACGTAGGGTACTCGGCTAGCGCTCAATTAAACCGAAACACTGTCGCAGCGCCCGCAGGTGCAGACCGCACGGTCCACACCGCCCGCCGCCGGGCGTCCCTGATTAGCAGTTGGGGCGGGGCCAAAGTCCGGGAGCTGCCGACGCGCAGGCGGTTGAAAGCCCCGCCCTCTGCGCGTGCGCGGTGCGCGTCCCGTGGTTCCGCTTGCCTCCCAGCGCCCGAACGCAGGTTGGCTGCGTCCGCGAAGAGCGCGCGCGCTTCCGCCCGGCGTCGGGCTCGCGCACGCGCACGGCGACGGTGGCGGTGGCGGCCGTTCCTGCCGGGGGCTGCGAGCAGCCGGTGGCTTCGAGGGAAGCGGCGGCGCGGAGGGGTTCAGCGGCGGCGGCGGCGGCTCGGCGCTGGTAGCCCTCGGCACGGCTGGCGCCGGGGCGGGCGGTTCGGTCCGTTCCGGGCGCGCGGGGGCTACAGCGGCGGCGACCCGAGGCCTGCGGCCTAGGCCTCAGCGCAGCGGCGGACTCGAGTGCGGTGAGGAGCCGGCCCGAGGGCCCTATCCGGCGGCACCATGAGCGTGGAGGCGTACGGGCCCAGCTCGCAGACCCTCACTTTCCTGGACACGGAGGAGGCCGAGCTGCTCGGCGCCGACACTCAGGGCTCCGAGTTCGAGTTCACCGACTTCACTCTTCCTAGCCAGACGCAGACGCCCCCCGGCGGCCCCGGCGGCCCGGGCGGTGGCGGCGCTGGAGGCCCGGGCGGCGCGGGCGCGGGCGCTGCGGCGGGACAGCTCGACGCGCAGGTGAGCGGCACATGGCGGCGCCGGAAGCCCGGGCCCGGCCTCGGCTCCTGGGACTTGCCCCGACCCCGCCTCGGGCCGGGTGGGGGCTTGCCTGGCGTTCCACACCGCGGCCGGGCCTGGGCCGACCTGCCCCGGGTTCCCTACTCCGGCTGGGTCTGAGCTTAGCTGCCCCAGGTCCTGCTCTCTTCCGGGGCCTGGCCCGACTTGCCCCGGGCCCCCGCTCCAGCCGATACGGGGCTGAGTTCCTTCGGACCCCAGCTCCCGGGCCGGGCCGACTTGCCTCGAGTTCTCCACTCCGTCCGGGTTCGAGCTAACCTGCCCCTGTTCCTTTAACACCGGCTGGGTTTGTTCCTCCGCCTGGGTTCGAGCTGACCTGCCTTGTGTTCCACAACCAGTCTGGCCTGGAGTAACCTGCCCCGCTTCCCCCCCTCCCTCCCCTGGCCAGCTGATTTATCTGGGTTCTTCCACTCCAGCCGGGCTAGGGCTGACCTGCCCTGGACCCTTTTCCGCAGGTCTCTGGAGTCTGCCCCTAGTTCCCTTACGGCCTGGGCCAGGTCTTCCTCAGGCCGGATCTTGAATGACTTTTTTCGGTTCCCTTCCGGGAGTATCCAGGGTGACCTGCCCTAAGCCTGTCTCTAGCCCGGTCTGGGGGGGATCTGCCCCGTCTCCCCACTAGCGGGTCCGGCCTCCCTGTGCCGCCTCCCTGTGCCACCTCGCGTCTGCGGTGGCAGCCGTCTGGGCACCCCCTGCCCCCCTTTCACGGTCACGGAGCCGAGGTTCGAATTTCCCCAGGCGTAGCGGCGCTGGCCAGTGAAAGGTTGAGGCTCCCGGAGCCGAGAAGAATTTTTGCCTCCCGCGGAGGAGCACACACTGGCTTCGTATTAAGATCATTCGGCAGGCAGGTTGTATTTTGTTTTTTTTTTTTTTTTCTTGAATCGCCTGTTGCTGAAACCGACCTGTTACATAACTCCACAACTCTTGCCTTGAAAAAGTTGAGTTTGAGTTTCGTTCCTCCAATAAGACAGCAATAGTTGATTTTACATAAACGAGTCTGCCGCTTTGGAAACTTTTTAATGATGTGGATGTTTAGAGAAGGTTACTTGGGTATTTTAAATGGGGGCTTGGTTTGGGAGAAGTGTCAGGCTTGCATTTCCTGGTCCTGGGTGCTGCCCACCTGGGGTGGGAGAGGGGTTTGGGGTGAGAGTGTTGGCCGGGGCCCTGGTGAATGTCCTCATCATCCTCTGGATCTCAGGTTGCTTTCACCCTAGGCTTGCTTTCTGCCTGACAACTCACTCAGGTGTATTTTCCTGAATGCTCTGCCAGGGAGTAGCTACAAGGCTCATCTTGGCAGAATTGTCCTTTGGCATATGCTTGTGTTTCAGAGCAGGGGAAACCGCCCCTTGCTTATCCAGAGTGAGCTCAGACCCTGTCCTTGGTTGAGGGGGGCTTACGTGGTAGTCGGTTGAGTCACTCCCGTGGGTAGACCACCCACTTGGGCTTTCTTTTAGCCCCTAATGGAAGCAAAAAAAAAAAAAAAATTGACTCATTCTAACCCTGTATCTCTTAAAATAGAAGGCCTGCATAGAGGTGGAGCGTGAGGAGAACAGGTGTGCACCTATGGGTGTTTTTTCAGTTTTGTTTACATTTGGTGAAGGGAGGGAGGGAAAGAGGAGAGTTCCCCTGAAGAAGGGAGCCTGAGCTGTGGAGGCCCCACCACCTTGTAGTTTTCATGCCCTGTAGACCTTTCTGCTTCACAGCTGTGCAATGGGGGTGGCGATTAGATTTTTGTTCTAACTGAAGGAAACCTAGATCCATGTGTGAGTGGACTGTATAGGCTGTCTGTAACCTGACATCCAGCCCGTTGGGGAGACTCAGGGTAAAGATCTCTGTGGAGCAGTGAGCCCTGAGCCGTGACAGCGCGGGTGGGGGCTTGGCTGGTGTGAAAGATAGTCATTTTCTTGTGAATCCTCCTAACTGTAGCCAGCATGAAACAGCAAACCTGGGGCAGCCTTTAGTTCCACTTTTGTTTCTGGCATTCTGTTTGGGATTAATTTTGGGGCATGTCCTTCTCTTTCAGCTGAAACAACTGATTTTTTTTTTTTTTCCTCCACCTGAGTGCACTGGGCTGTGCAAAGTGAGAGCATTAAAATGCTCCCCTGGAGGTAACCATTGCAGTTGAGCTCGCTGGAGTTCCCGTGACATCAGAGGGTTTGGCCTGCACTACTTTTAATTGATCCAGATGCCCCACCCACCTGTTGCCTGTAATTTGAATGTGTTTGTGGGGAATGGCAGTGGCACCGCTTTGTATCACAAGGGGAAGACTGAAATTTGGGGCAGGGAAGTCTGTGAATATCATTCAAGGAAAAGCAGAAGAAAGTTTTCTCTTGTGCGAATTGATGACAGTGTCTGCAAGACATTTGGGGAGACTTTCCCTGTTTGTCCTCAGGAGTTGGCGGTGTAACTAGCTGTGAGTTGGGGGCTCCTGGGACTCAGCCTCTCATTCTGCTTTTTGATTTTTATTTTACTGGGCGAGTGGCTGTCAGCTGTCCAGTGCCCTGCAGCCACTTTGGCTTAACAGCTTTATTGATACAGAATTCGCTTACCACACCATACAGTTTACTAATTTAAAGTGGACAGTTCAGCAGCTTTTATTTAGTATATTCAGGGTTGTGTGGCCATTACCATAATAAACGTTAGAGCATTTTGTTACTGCAAAAATAAACCCTGTACCCCTTAGTTCCTCCGTCCTCCGTCCCCAGCCCCTGGCAACCACTCATCTGCTTTCTGTCTCGGATGTGCCTTTTCTGGATATTTGACATGAACAGAATTATATGTGGTGTCTTGTGTCTAGCTCCTTTCACTCTGCCTGATGTGTGAGAATCAGCTACAAGGTGAGCGTCGTAGCTGTTCCCTGGCTGAGCACTCAGGAAAATGAACATGATGGAAGTTCGTCCACGCTGTGGCATGTTAGCGTTCCATTCCTTTTTAAGGCTGAGTAATATTCCATGGGTGGACCACGTTTTGTCTGTCTTGTTGTCTGTTGATGGACATTTGGGTTGTTTCCACCTCGTGGCTTTTGTGAATGCGCTGCTGTGGCCATGCGTGTGCGGGCTTCTGTGTGGATGTATTTGTAGACGTGCCGGGCTGGGCGGTAACTCTGGGTTTAATGCTTTCAGCAACTGCGAGACTGTTTTCCATTATGTAGCCACATTCTGTACCAACCCCGCCTGTACTGGTTTTGCATGGTTGATTTTTCCTTGATGTCTGTTGAAAAACTGTGTGTCCCCACCACGGTGGGAAAGTGGCAGCAGGGGTGACTCCTGCACTCAGGGCTGGTTCAGATAACACTCCCTTTCTTATTTATGAAACGAAACTGGTATTTATCAAAGCCCCTTGAGATCATGGGATCAAAAGTGCTGACACTGTTGCCAAGTGTCCTTAAGATAAAAGGACAGGCCGGGCGCGGTGGCTCAAGCCTGTAATCCCAGCACTTTGGGAGGCCGAGGCGGGTGGATCACGAGGTCGAGAGATCGAGACCATCCTGGTCAACATGGTGAAACCCCGTCTCTACTAAAAATACAAAAAACTAGCTGGGCATGGTGGCGCGTGCCTGTAATCCCAGCTACTCAGGAGGCTGAGGCAGGAGAATTGCCTGAGCCCAGGAGGCGGAGGTTGCGGTGAGCCGAGATCGCGCCATTGCACTCCAGCCTGGGTAACAAGAGGGAAACTCCGTCTCAAAAAAAAAAAAAAAAAAAGATAAAAGGACAGTTTTTGAGTGTCTCACCCTTTGCTGGGGCCTTCTCTGCTGCCGCCTCTCCCACTCCCAGAACAGTGTAGGTAATTTCAGAAGTCCTTTGCATAATAGCTGGTGTTACAAGCCTTTTGGTCTGTCTGGTTGGAATATTTCCTCTTGACTGTAGATTCTATCCTGCATCCTCCAAACAGTGGAATTAGAGTGAAACTCTTTAAGAGTTGGAAATACTGTTCGGTATCAGGAAGGAACAAACTATTGATAACCTGCAACAACATGGATGGGTCTCATAATTGCTTTTTTTAATGTGCCATCTATCGTATGATTTAATTCATACAAAATTCTAGAAAGTGCCAGCTAGCCTGCAGTAATAGAAAGCAGACCAGTGGTGGCCAGACAGAAAGATAGGAAAGGGGAGGGAGGTGACAAAGGGCACAGGAAACTTGCAGATTGATGGGTGTTTTTATTATCGTGATTGTAGTGACAGTTTTATGGGTGTTGAAGTGCATTGACGTATGTCAGTTTCTAATGGCACACTAAACATTTGCAGCTTATGGTATGTCAGTTACATCTCAGTGCAACCGGAAAGAAAAGTCATGAAGATACCACTATCCACCCATTCCCGTGGCACACATATTTTTTAAAAGGCTGAAAGTGCTGCTTGGTTTCATTCTGTCACCCAGGCTGCAATGCAGTGGTGTGATCAGGCTCACTGCAGCCTCAACCTCCTGGGCTCAAGCGATCCTCCCACCTCAGCCTCCTGAGTAGCTGGGACTACAGGTGTGTGCCACCATGTCTGGCTGATTTTTCTGGTTTTTTTTTTTTTTTTTTTTTTTTTGTGGTGATGGGGTTTTGCCACGTTACCCAGGCTGGTCTTGAACTCCAGGGCTCAAGAGATCCTGTTACCTCAGGCTTCCTAAATTTTGGGATTACACCAAGAGCCACTGCACCTGGTGAGAGTGCTACTTGGAACTCTCATGCCATATACCTGCCTGTGACCTAGCAGAGATGAAGGTGCGCGTATATAGGGCTGCGCCGAACGCTGACAGCAGATCATTCCTGAGAACCCCAAACCAGAAACAGTCCCAGTGGCCATCAGCAGATGAATGGGTAAACAACAGTGTGTACATCCAGTGAGAAAAGTGCGTGCTATTTGTTTGACTTACTCTTCTTAGCTCACCTGGAAGTACGAGGTCTGAGGGTAGGTATGTTCGTTTTAGGCAGGAACACGGATATTTTTGTGCAGTGC